GCAGCGAGGGCCTGCAAGGGAGGCGCGCGCGGTCGAGGCAGAGGTCTTCGCGCCGTGGGCGGCCGAGGGCCTGTATGGGCCAGCGCGCAGTCGGGCAGAGGGCCGCGCGCGGGGGCGGAAGGCCTGCAGGGGGCAGCGCGCCGGCCTGACGGGCCTGGCCAGGGGCGGCTCGCGGGCTTGACGGCCTGAAGGTGGCGGCTCGGGGGGGCTGACGGGCCTGCAGGGGCGACTAGGGGGGGCCTGACGGGCCTGCAGAGGTGGCTCGGGGGCCTGACGGGCTGCAGGGGCGGCTCGAGGGCCTGTCGGGACTGCAGAGGCAGCACGGGGCTTGACGGGCCTGCAGGGGCGGCTCGAGGGCCTTACGAGCTTGCAGGGGCGGCGCACTGGCCTAGGCAGCAGGAGGCAGCGCGAGGGCTGCAGGACGGCGCGCGCAGCGCAGCACGTCACGAGGCAAGGCAGGCAGACACATGACAATACGTGGGGTAGCGCGGTAACCGCAATGGTAGGTGGGCCCGAAAAAAAAAAAAAAAAAAAAAAAAAAGGTCCTACGGACCTAGTGCTCTGAAACCATGTTAGAATCTGGCAGTAGGAATGAATGAACTATGAATGAGATGGGTACAAATATGAAACCCTAAAAGGGGATGTACCCCATATTGGCTACCCCACTACAGCCTAAGCATATATAGCATATATATCATTCGACAACCTCACCCTCGATTGAAGCATCATTGTGGATGCTGGACAGCGAATGCAGCTAGCACATGACTTTGGATAGGTCAAGTAGGGATGACAGTGACAATGACTAGGCCGCTATGGCTGCCTGACACTTGCCTGACAAGCACATTACGCGAAGCCTAGCCACCAGATGGCTTCAATTTTACCAGTACTGCAACCGTTACATCCTTACGAAGCAGCCTATATATTTTTTATGTTCATCAGGCGAACATTATATCGACTGCTCTAGGGAGTATCTCGCTGGTGCAAGCGACAAAGTCCAACGTCCGCGCGGGCTTCTCAAGGTGCTCTGCTGGCACTCAGGAACAACAATCAAGGACTAACGCCACTGGATGCTTGGATTACGTCCAAGGACGTGATCCTGAAGTCCTATCCTCGGTTTCTCAACACCTGAGTTAAGAGCACTGGTCAGCTGTCTACGCTAACAATGACAATGACAGGCTATATATCAGTACTGTGCTCAGACCATCGCATATGTTCTTCATCAGCTTGTTAACTCAGAGCTTCTGTTGTTTCTGGTTCATCATTGCACGATGCCGCCGAAAGGGTCGCATGTTAAGCCCATTGTTGATGCGCCACCGCCTGAAACCACAACGGGTGGTCCTGATGCTGCATCCAAGCAAACGGCAACCAGCAAGTTAGACATTGTGAAGGATCTGCCATTTGAGGCTGAAGTCACTGCGGGAAGCTCGGGATTATCCATTGAGGATAAGCTGAAGGCGCTGGCTAACGGTCACACTTGATGACACCTATATTGAAGACGACTCTTACGAGGAGCTGGAAGTTGACAATGAAAAAGGGACGGCGTCGCATCTTCGGTTCACGGCGATACTGCTCTTCCCGATCATTCCGTCTCATGAGATCGCCTCTGTCATTATTACCGCCAAGATGCTGATGAAGCGCGTTTGGTCGCATATCTTTACTGACGGTGTTCTTACCACAGTGAAGTTTCAGGAGCTGCCACCCGCGTATGTCGCGAAGTCACGTTACAGCAGACTCCAGGTCTCCTTCCTGCAAGAAGCAAACGCGACTAGTGTCAAACAAATGATTGTGGACCATAAGCGACCGAATGGCTTGACTATTACTGCTTCTGGCTTCACCAGGAAGATCCGGCTTTCATCCGAACAAAGGCGGCTAACCCGCAGATGCTGGAAGTCTACTTTAAGGGTGTACCTGCTGACATTTCGCTGGAACTGGTCAAGGATGTGATGGTTGTCCATCGGTTGAAAGTACGCAAACGGTCCGCGTTCAGCGAGGGTCATTGCTTCCACCGCGTGCTACATCCGGTTACTGGTGCAGACATTGGTAAGATCAAGGGAATGGTGGTCCCGCACGCGGGGGGACAAACATCGTTGGCGACACGAGTTTCGCCACCAGCTGCATGGTGGAACGTCGTTGCTGGCCCACTACCCCTTGTTATCCTGCACGCTCTGTGGTGGACATCACTATGACAAGTTTCATGATGTCTATGTCACGGAGCGTCAGGATAACATAGGGAAGTGGAGTCTCACAGTGGGTCGGGTACACAAGATTAACGGTAACAGCCTCTTACAGTTTTGTTGTCGGGGTTATTCTTGCTGTCTCTTACCTTCCTCGGCTTCTGACCTCTTGCTTGCCTCTCGCAGCTGCTTCTTTCGGCACTTCTCCGCTTGTCACCCCTCTCCTCATGGATGCGGCCTTTATTCTGATCTCGACGGGGAGCAACAGGGAGGAGTGGCTGTGCACCCAAGCCAGCTGCGGGAAAGCACACGGCGAATCCTTCGTGACTGCTGCAGACCATGTCACCTTTGCAAGCCACCTGCTGGGGCTAGAGAAGCTAGGTGCTGCCACTCGTCTCTCCCTCGAGAAGCTGAATCTGAACACCATCCGCAAGGAGTACGGGATCTAAGTGATGATCTGGATCGACTTACCAGTGTCTCTTTGTCTGTAGCCGTTGTTTGTTCCGTCATAGCCGTTGCATGTTTCACCAGCCTGTGGACGAGGGGAGGCTACCAAGCAATGATCAAATGAGTACAAAAAATCTTCTCACGTTAGCAGGCCTGAATGTGAACGGCCTGGGAGACGGGAACAAGCAACAGCGTACGAAGAACTGGATCAGACAAGTAGCTGACATCACTATACTCTCAGACTCTAGACTAGCAGATGACCACCCATACTGGAACTCTCTCAAACAGCCTAGGACCTTAGTTGCTTCACCAACTGCCAAGGCCGGGGGTGTAGCGCTGATCTGTCGCAGACAAGGCTTATCACTTCATAACATTCTGATTCACTCGTCAGGCCGACTGATCAAAGTTTATGTGCAACTGGACGCCTTCCACATCACCTTAGTAGCGGTGTACTTTCCGGCGGACGCGTCGGAGCGGAAAGCCTTCATCCGTCGGGTCTTGGGCCCAGTGGTTGACGGCGTACCACCTGGCGCTCACCTGCTTGTCCTCGGAGATCTAAATCTGGTGGAGGATTCGCTGCTCGATAGGACCTCCAGGAAAGGGACGACCAAAGAGAACGACGAGTTGTACCAGCGCTGCAGTGCTTTTCGTTTATCGGATGCCTTTCGTGTTCTGCATCCCTTCAAACGGGAGTTCACTTTCTACTCACATGCCTGTCAGACCAGCTCGCGCATTGATCGTGCTCTCATCTCGCAGTCTCTGCTATCGCATGTTGAGCTCGCCTCCCACATCATGCCTGCTGACCCAATCTCGAACCACAGCTTTGCGATTAAGGTGGCCTTTAGGATGAGCACGCAAGTGCAGACGGGAGCGGGCCTTTGGAGACTACCTGCATACATGGTGGGGAGACCGGGTTTCATAAAGGTGATCGAAAGAGTGTCGAGTCAGATGGAGAAGTCGGGCGACAATTACAAGCTGCTAATCGCGAGACTGAACACGGGGCTCAAGGCTTACGCCAGGGAGGAGAGAAAGAGAGTTCGTGCCACGATGACCTTCCTTCAACAGGCAGTTGCTGATCTGAAACAGGAGTGGCTGGGGGACCCGAGCTGTGTCCGGCTGAAAGACCTACAGGGTGAAAGGGAGCTCCAACTGAGAAGCTATCAGCAGTCACGGCAGGAGAGACTGCACGTGATGGCCGGGATGAAGGAGGTGACGTTGGGTGAGATTGCATCACCTCTCCTATCTACGAAGATTAAGGGCCAGAAGGAACACACACAAATCACGGAGTTAAACGTGGGAGGCACTATGGTCAGTGACAATAAAAGCATTTTGGGTGCAGCTTCGCAGTACTACCGGCAGCTGCTTGGAACAGACAGACAGACGGTCTTATCTGAGTGGGAACCCCCGGCGGACAGAAGATTGTCGTCGGTAGTGGCGGAGTCATTGACTGCCGAGTGGTCGGAGGAGGAGGTTAAGAGCGCGTTTCAGTCGATGACGAAAAACAAGGCTCCTGGCCGGGACGAGTTGCCAAAGGAGCTCTTTGAAGTGCATTGGGACATCCTGGGCAAACACTTCATGTCGCTGGTGAAAAACTTCTCGGACACGGCGTCCCTCCTAGCCTCCACCAAGGACGCGGTGACCATCCTGCTGCACAAGAAAGGGGGGAGGGATCAGCTGGAGAACTATCGCCCTATCACATTGCTCAGCTTCACCTACAAAGTGATAGGCGCGGGTGGTAGCGGACAGGATGAAGAAAGTGCTCTCGGAGGTAGTCTCACCGGAGCAGTTTGGCTTCTTACCAGGAAGGAGGTTGTCGGACGCTGTGGGGCTGGTGGCGGATATTATCGAAGCGGCCAAAAATAAAGATAAAGATTGGTACCTCCTGCTCGTTTACTTCAGGAAGGCCTTCGACTCGGTGTCGAGGGGATTATTGTTTACGGTGCTGGAGAAGATGGGCTTCCCCCCCCGTTTTGTCGGTTGGATTCGAGGCCTGCATGAGAACACACGGACAAGCCTGTTGGTTAACGGTTGGATTGGTGAGGCAGTCGAAGTGGTCTCGGGGGTGCGTCAGGGTTGGCCCCTCGCGCCTTACCTGTTTTTGTGCGTGGTGGAACCGCCGGCGCAGGAAGCGACGAACCGAAGGATAGGCATTTCCGAGGGTGATCAGCGGCTGGCGTACCTTGGTTATGCCGACGACACAACTCTTATCCTGGAGGGGGAGGAGCAGATTGCAGCAGCAAAGAAGTTGTTAGAGGAGTTCGCAGGGGAATCAGGCCTCGCTACTAACAAGGAGAAGTCAGTTGTCTTACCGCTGGGGTCGAATCTGAGCAAGCAGCCCTGGAAGACCGATGGCTTCAAATGGGCGAAGGCTGATGAGGCAAAAAGGCTACTGGGAGTGTGGGTGACTCCTGCCGGAAGCTGCAATCCCACATGGGAGAAGGCTTTCACACAGATTAAGCGGAAATTGTCGCAGTGGGAGGCGCAGCACCTCACAACCGACGCGCGTGCTGCGGTGATAAACTGCTACATCTCACCGATAATCTTCTTTCAGGCTCAGGCGTACCCGCCACCGGTGGATATTTGGGGGAGGATACTGAAACTGACGCACAAATTCATGTCGGGAAATCGGGCCTCTGCTGACAAGGATTTCATACTGTGGAGTAGAGAGCTACTGTACATGGCCAGAGAAGAGGGGGGCGTCAGTATGAAGGACCCGGAAATCGCACTTACCTGCCTAATCGCCAGAAAGATCAGGCTGCTGCTCACCGAGACGAACGCGCTGAAACGCGACATCATGCTCCAGGCTGCGGACTTGCCGCTGGGAATGGATACCTTCGTCGCTCACGTGAAGCTGCTCAAATGCTGGCGCGGGAAAAGCGAGCGGCAGAAGCTTGCGTGCGCTAACTTCATGCAGTCGCCGCTCGCCAGCACGCTGCTTGACTTATCACGGGAGGAAGTGGCGAGGGAAAGGATCGTTTTCAATCGCCATATCCTGATGAAAGGCACGACTCCGGTGGGCAGCCAGAAAGCCGCGGAGAAATTGTGGGAGGTGCGTCTGGGAGACCTGCTGGCTGCGGGCGGTGACGGGAGCTGGCATGTAAAGGATGATAAAACCCTAGCGAGGGAGCTCGGTGGCTCAAAGCAGGCGAAACTTGCTCTACGGGCGTGGGAAGCAGCACCGCAGAGCTCGAAGCTGCTTCTCCTCTCAGCCGAGCAATCTGGCGCACCTGCCACCCAGCTCCGCACTCCGCTCCAGCGCACAACGGCTTCCAGTGGCGGGGGGCTACCATCGCTGAAGGAGCTGAAAGGGAACTGGCAACAGCCGAAACATCAATCAGCCAAACGGGAGCTCTGGGCAGGCAGATGGGTAGGAGTTATCGACCTGAAAAGGGTTTTGAAAATTCGGGACTCGCTGGTGACACTGAACCAACCGCGTGATGTGCTGCTGAGAATCCACAGTCTCAACCTCCAAGTGGGAGAAAGGCTTTCTTTCTTGAGTGGAAAGCCGATTTGCCTGCACTGCGGGGAGTTTGAGACCCTCGAACACTGCCTCTACACCTGTCCAAGAATCCAGACGGTGGTGGTGTCAGAATATATCTGTAACTGCCTGTAGCTATAGTTAGTGTAGTTATTATAAACTTTGTTTGGTGGTGCACCTTCTTTGTTTCTTTGCTATATGTTGTTGCCAACCTATAGTGAAGCCATCTTTCTCCTCTCTCAACTTTCTCGACATTCTCCTTACCCTAGAACTCGATCTACTAAGAACCAAAACCATGGCTCCTAAGCCAACCTTTGCCTAGACTTCAACATGGTATTCAGAGCAGCTACCTTCCTACTGCCTTCTTGCTTCCGCTGCCTATCGTCCTGCCGCGCGCCTCGGGCGCGCGGCGTATGGCGCACGGCGATTTTCTGCCCGCCGTGTGCTCGGGGCGCACGGCGGTTTTCTGCCCGCCGTGCGCCCTGGGCGCGCGGCATCTTCCTGCCCCGCGCGCGGCCTGCCTTCACGCCGCCTGCGCGCCTGCCTCATGTCCACGCGCGGGCCTGTTTTGCCCGCCCGTACCCTCCACTTCGCGGCGCCCTGCGAGGCGCCACTCCTGCTCGTCGCGACGCACTTGCGGGACCCGGGCGTCGCCGCTCCTGCTCGTCGCGACGCCCCTGCAGGACCCGCACGGCGTCGCCGTGCTCGTCGTGACACCACTGCGGGACCCACGGGGCGTCGCCACAGCTCGTCGCGCCGCCCCCAGGACGCCGCCCCTACTCGTCGCGGCACCCCTGGGGCGGCGCCCCTACTCGTAGCGGCACCCCTTGGGCGCCGATCCTACTCGACGCGTCGCCCTCCCCCCTGGCCACCGCCTCTGCCTCACATGCGCCCGCGCCAATGTTGCAGCCGAGCGCGGACCTACCTTGCCCCAGCGCCGCCCCTGGACCTCAGCAGCAGCCCCTGGAGCAGCCGCCCCAGCAGCAGCAGCCCCAGGAGCCGCCGCCCCAACAGCAGCAGCCCCTGGAGGCGCCGGCACTGCAGCGGCCGCCCCAGCAGCAGCAGCGCCTGGAGCAGCCGCCCCCAGCAGCAGCAGCCCTTGCAGCCGCCGCCCCAGCAGCAGCAGCGCCTGGAGTAGCCGCCCCAGCAGCAGCAGCCCCTGGAGCCGCCGCCACTGCAGCGGCCACCCCAGCAGCAGCAGCGCCTGGAGCAGCCGCCCCAGCAACAGCAGCCCCTGGAGCAGCCGCCCCAGCAACAGCAGCCGCCCCAGCAACAGCAGCCGCCCCTGGAGCCGCCGCACCAACAGCAGCAGCCCCTGGAGCCGCCGCCACTGCAGCGGCCGCCCCAGCAGCAGCAGCGCCTGGAGCAGCCGCCCCAGCAGCAGCCCACGGCGCTGACCCCACAGCTGTTTGCACCGCCGCTCCTGGACTCGGTACGGCTGCCCGTGCCTGTGCTACCTGTTGCTGCCCGTGCCTGTGCTGCCTGTTGCCGCCCGTTGCTGCCCGTTGCTGCCCGTGCCTGTGCTGCCCGTTGCTGCCCGTGCCTGTGCTGCCCGTTGCCGCCCGTTGCTGCCCGTGCCTGTGCTGCCTGTTGCTGCCCGTGCCTGTGCTGCCTGTTGCCGCCCGTTGCTGCCCGTGCCTGTGCTGCCCGTTGCTGCCCGTGCCTGTGCTGCCTGTTGCCGCCCATTGCTGCCCGTGCCTGTGCTGCCCGTTGCCGCCTGTTGCTGCCCGTGCCTGTGCTGCCCGTTGCCGCCTGTTGCTGCCCGTGCCTGTGCTGCCCGTTGCTGCCTGTTGCTGCCCGTGCCTGTGCTGCCTGTTGCCGCCCGTTGCTGCCCGTGCCTGTGCTGCCCGTTGCCGCCCGTTGCTGCCCGTGCCTGTGCTGCCCGTTGCCGCTTGTTGCTGCCCGTGCCTGTGCTGCCCGTTGCTGCCTGTTGCTGCGTGTGCCTGTGCTGCCTGTTGCTGCCTGTTGCTGCCCGTGCCTGTGCTGCCCGTTGCCGCCCGTTGCTGCCCGTGCCTGTGCTGCCCGTTTCTGCTCGTGCCTGTGCTGCCTGTTGCCGCCCGTTGCTGCCCGAGCCTGTGCTGCCTGTTGCCGCCCGTTGCTGCCCGTGCCTGTGCCGCCCGTTGCCGCCCGTTGCTGCCCGTGCCTGCGCTGCCCGTTGCCGCCCGTTGCTGCCCGTGCCTGTGCTGCCTGTTGCCGCCCGTTGCTGCCCGTGCCTCTGCTGCCTGTTGCCGCCCGTTGCTGCCCATGCCTGTGCCGCCCGTTGCCCCCCGTTGCTGCCCGTGCCTACGCTGCCCGTTGCCGCCCGTTGCTGCCCGTGCCTGTGCTGCCTGTTGCCGCCCGTTGCTGCCCGTGCCTGTGCTACCTGTTGCCGCCCGTTGCTGCCCGTGCCTGTGCTGCCAGTTGCCGCCCGTTGCTGCCCGCGCCCTTGTGCGCCCTGCTGCTACCCGCGCCCTTGTGCGCTCTGCTCTGCCTGCGCCCTCGTGCGCTCTGCTGCTGCCCGCGCCCTCGTGCGCCCTGCTGCTGCCCGCGCCCTTGTGCGATCTGCTCTGCCTGCGCCCTCGTGCGCTCTGTTCTGCTCTGTCGCCCCTGCGCCCCCCCCCCCCCCCCCCCCCCCCCCCCTTCTTCGTCTCCTTGCTGCGCGTGCAGCCATGGAACGGAGGCTATGGGGGTGGCGGGTATGGGGGTTATGGGTGTGTGTGATCCCCTTCCCCTCCTCCTCCTTTCTCTCCCACTGCTGCAGCTGCCGCTGGGGGGGGGTGGGTGTGAGGGTGTGGGGGAGCTGGGGGAGAGGTGCTAGGGTTGTCAAGGAGTGTGGAAGGGGGAGTTGGAAGACTGAGGAAGGTTCCAGGAAGCAGCCGCCTTGGAGCCAGCAGCTTCACCTGCCAGCAGCCTCTCCTCATTTAGTCCCTCCTCCTCACTTGCCCTCTCCTTCTACTACGCATGGTGTACCCCTTCAGGGGGAGTCTCTGCATTAGCTTCTGCTGCAGGCAGTTATGGGAGAGTGTCAGAATATATCTGTAAGTGCCTGTAGCTATAGTTAGTGTAGTTATTATAAACTTTGTTTGGTGGTGCACCTTCTTTGTTTCTTTTCTATATGTTGTTGCCAACCTATAGTGAAGCCATCTTTCTCCTCTCTCAACTTTCTCGACATTCTCTTTACCCTAGAACTCGATCTACTAAGAACCTAAACCATGGATCCTAAGCCAACCTATGCCTAGACTTCAACAGGTGGGGGCAGTTCGGAAGGCTCTGCGCATGCTGAATTCGACAAGGCAAGTTGACAGCTTGGGTGACATACTGTTTGGCAATACCGCTTCCACCTCAGCTTTTCCGGAAGCGTCTCTCTCGGCAATTGCAATACACCAGATTTGGGCAGAGCGGTGCGATTGCGTGTTTCGAGGCAAGAGATTTTGAGCCAGACGGGTACTGAGGAGGATTGAAGCAGCTTTCAAGCTACATGTGCAGGTGTATACTCGGGCAACAGGGAAAAAGCTGGGCATGAAGGGCAATTTGAAACAGGGCGGGAAGACGTACGCGCTGGCAGATCAGGAGTGTCGGCTCCTTGGACGTATCCGGACTCTGGAAGGCAAAGGCTGGAAATGGTCCCGTCACTTTGGTGCGCTATGGAATCTTGCGCGAGGGGCACTACATCCCCCTTAGAGTCATCCCTTGAAGCAGGCGTGCTGCCGGGCCTCTCACGCTCAGTTACGACTGATATATGTTTGTGTGCACTAGCATCATCAGTGTATATTTAACATATAAAAAAAAAAAAAATGGGAGGCTTGCTAATGGGAGCCATCTGACGGGAACAATCAGAGCAACTGCACCTGATGGTGTCAAACATTATACATGTTTATATTGTGTAGGCTATAGTGGGTTTAGCCTTAGGGGGTACAACTTTGTTAGGGTTTCCTACTTGTATCCCCCTCATGCCTAGATTCATCATTCTCGTTCGTTCTAAGATTCTAACATGGTATTACGAGCCTAGGTCGTAACTTAGGACCGATGATAGGGCCCACCTAATCCGTTAGTCACGCCCAAGCGCGCCTCGCTTAGTCGCGCCCGCGAGCGCACCTCGTTTCTGCCCCGTAGCGCGCCCTAGCGTGCCCCTTACAAACCGGCCCCGCTCAGCCCGCACGCCCTAGCGTGCCCCTCGCGATCGGCCCCGCCCTCCTTGTAGCGCGCCCTTACGCGACCCACTGCCCCGCGCGCCCTTGCGCGCCCCTTAGGAACCGGCCCCGCCCTTCCTCACGCGCCCTTACGTGCCTCGTGCGACCCTGCCCCACCCGCGCGCCCTTGCGTGCCTCTCGAGAGCTGGCCCCGCCCCACTAGCCCGCCCTTGCGTGCCCCGTGAGACCAGGCCCCGCCCCACTAGCACGCCCTCGCGTGCCTCCCTCCGCACAGCCCTGCCCTTGCAGCCCCGCTAGCGCCCCAATACACCCGAGCCGCGCCGTCCACCCGAGTCCCGCCGCCCACCCGAGCCGCGCCGCCCCATCGAGTTGCGCCGCCCTACCAGAGCCGCGCCATCGTACCGAGCCGCGCCGCCCTACCGAGCCGCGCTACTGCTGCTTCTGTCGCTGCTACTGGCACTACTGCTATTACAGCCACCACTACTGCTCCTACTGCAACTATGGCTAGCCCTATCGTGCTCGCTTTCGATGCTGAGGGCCGCCCACTGAAGTTTGACACATGGCTAGATGACCTGCACCTGTATCTCCAGCTCACTACCAAGGAGGATATTTCACTGTACGATCACGCTCTAGGACACGGTTCTGCCCCTGCTGCTACTGCTGACAGCACTGCCCGCTCACAGTGGCATACTCGTGATGCCCACGCTCGCTTCGCTATTCGCAACTCTCTGCCGATAGATGAGCGCGAGCACTTCGGCCAGCACAAGACTGCACAGGCACTGTACACTGCTGTAGTTGCACGCTACTCCTCACCTGCCTCTGCTATGATAGGCCGTCTCTTGCTCCCCTACTTGTTCCCAGACCTGTCCGCTTTCTCCACAGTCGCTGACCTCATCACACACCTCCGCTCTAGTGAGGGCCGCTTCCGTGCCGCTATGCCCGCTGAGTTTCTTGACAAGAACCCCCCCCCCCGCTGTGGCTGACTCTCTACCACCTAGTCACCCGTCTCCTTGACTCTCTTCGTGCGGTTAGGGATCACTTCCTCGCTCGCTGCCCCACTGAGCTCACCATTGCTCTACTCGAGAAGGAACTGCTTGCAGCTGAGGCTAGTATAGTCGTTGTAGGCACCTCTCGTGGCGGCCCCCGCACCCCTTTCTTCGAGGGGTGCTCCCCCTCCCCCCTTCTCCCCTCTGTCGCACCTGCTGCCGCTCTCGACCTCCTAGGGACTGAGCAGGTCGGGACTGCGTCCACTCAGACTGGGCGCCGCAGCGGCAAGGGCAAAGGGGGCAAGGGAGGTGGAGGTGACGGCGGGGGGGGCGGTGGTGGGGGCGGTGGCGGCGGTGGGGGTGGTGGCGGGACTGGAGGGGCTAGTGGCAGCAGTGGGGGTGGTGGCGGCAGCGGGGGTGGTGGCGGCACTGGCGGAGGAGGTGGCTGGGGTGGGGACGCTGGTGGTGGCGGCGGTGGGCGCGGTGGTGGCAAGGGCGGTGGTGGTCGAGGTGGTGGTCAACGCCAGTAGCAGACTTTGTCGCCCCATGAGCTTCGTGAATGGTACACTCAGCATGGGCGGGGGGGGGGGGGTGGCCTTAGCTGCACGTACGTCATCCGCATAGGTGACCGCACTGGTCAGACGTGTGGCAGGGCGCACACCACATAGCGCTGCTTCTCCCGCATTGACGACGCCTGGCGTACTCAGTTTCCTAGTGCCACTGAGCTGCCCCACTGGACTGACCTACTTAGGAAGAACATTGATGTCTATGCTCTTGAATTTGATGTGATTCTTGGTGCCATGTATGTGATGTCGGATAGTGGAGAGAGAGCCCAATACCTTTGTGTTCCGCCCGATCCGAGCATTCGGACCAGTAAGGCTGCCGCTCTAGGTGCTAGTGCGTCTGCTGCCCCAGGTGCTGGTGAGACTGCCGCCTCAGGTGCTCGCGTGTCTGCTGCCCCAGGTGCTTGTGAGGCTTCTGCTCTAGGTACTCGTGAGTCTGCGCCCTCTGGTGCTGAGTCTACTGAGGCACTACACACCTTCACTCTGGACTCAGGTGCTTCTCGCTGTTTCTTTCATAGCCGCACTGCCCTTGAGCAGCCTGCTCGGCCAGTTGCAGTCTCCCTCGCTGACCGCTCTGGGGGTCCGGTCCTTGCGACCTCCTCCACTGTCCTCCCATGTCCGGTGGTCCCGTCGGGCACACTGTCAGGTCTCTACCTCCCCTCGTTCTCTACGAACTTGGTGGCAGGTAGTGCACTCCAGGACGGGGGTGTTCACTAGTTCACCCCTGCCTACGGGTGCGTGACACACTGCACGTGTGCTCGGACGGGTCGCCACTTGGCTACGTTCACTCGGCAGCCGGGGTCGGACCTGTACACACTGATCACTGTGTCCCCTCAGGTAGTTGCATCTGCGTCTGCATCTGCGTCTGGTCAGCTGTCGGCCCCCTGCTCGTGTCGCTCCCTGTCTTACCAGACTGTCCTCTGGCACCACCGCCTTGGTCACCCGTCCTTGCAGCGCCTTCGTGGCATGCACTCCCGGTACCTTGTCTCTGGTCTTCCCAGGGTGCTCCCTCCCCTCCCACCCTCACCTGCTCCCCCCTGTCTTCCCTGTGTCGAGGGGCGGCAGTGCGCCGCTCCTCACTCCTCCTCCTTTCCCCCTACGTCTGCTCCTCTGCAGACGCTCCACATGGACGTGTGGGGCCCAGCCCGCGTTCGTGGACAGGGTCACGAGAGGTACTTCTTAATAGTTGTTGACGACTACTCGCGTTACACCACGGTCTTCCCTTTGCGCACCAAGGGTGAAGTCCCTGATGTTTTGATCCCTTGGATCCGCGCTGCCCATCTCCAGCTCAACGAGAGGTTCCACTACGACCTTCCTGTCCTGCGTCTGCACTCTGACAGAGGTGGGGAGTTTTCCTCCAGCCTCTTGGAGGCTTTCTGTCAAAAGGAGAGCATTGAGCAGACGTTCACGCTTCCAGTCTCTCCACAGCAGAATGGGGTTGCTGAGCGCCGCATTGGCTTGGTCATGGAGGTCGCTCGTACCTCCTTGATCCATGCGGCTGCCCCCCACTTTCTGTGGCCGTTTGCGGTCCGATACGCTGCACATCAGCTCAACCTCTGGCCCCGTGTCTCCGTTCCGGAGACTTTGCCGACACTGCATTGGACGGGCAAGGTTGGCGATGCGACACGTTTCCGCGTCTGGGGATCTCGAGCCTTTGATCGCGATACGTCCGCGGACAAGCTCTCCTCCCGCGCTGTTCCTTGTGTCTTCCTTGGCTTTGTCCCGGACGCGTCTGGTTGGCAGTTTTACCACCCTACCTCGCGCCGAGTCCTGCCTTCTCAGGACGTCACTTTCGACGAGTCCATCCCCTACTACCGCCTCTTCCCCTACCGCACTGCCCTGCTCCCCCCCCCCGCCTCTCTTCCTCGCTCCAGGTGCTGCTGTGGTAGACCCCTTCCCCCCTCAGGGTGCTGCTCCCTCAGGTGTGTCCCAGGTAGTCCTGGTTGAGCCTGTTGAGGTAGCTGTCGACTCTCGTCCTTCTTGGGGTGCGGAGCCTGGGGGTGCGGAGCCTGGGGTGAGGAGCCTGGGGGTGCGGAGTCTGGGGGTGCTGAGCTTGGGGGTACTGGACCTGAGAGTGGTGCGACTAAGGGTACTGAGCCTGGGGGTGCTACACCTGAGCGTACGGCGCCTGGAGACCCTCCGTCTTCCCAGCAGCTGCGTGAGTGGTACTCACGGTACTGCAGCCACAGGAGAGGTGCTTCTGGGGCTAGAGGTGGTGCTGGAGCTAGTGCTTGTGGTTCCTTGCCTAGGCGGGAGCTCCCCTCTCCTCAGCGGCTCCGAGAGTGGTACGCTCGGCGCTGTAGTCTCCGGAGTGGCGCTGCTGGTGCTTGGGACCCTGGTGTTGGAGCTACTGCTGGTACTGAGGACCCTAGATTTTTTGCTACTGCTGGTGTTGAGGACCCTGGAGTTGGTGCTGCTGCTGGTGCTACGGACCCTGGAGTTGGAGCTGCTGCTGGTGCTGCGGACCCTAGACCTGGTGCTGCTGCTGGTGCTGCGGACCCAGGAGTTGGAGCTGCTGCAGGTGATGAGGACCCTGGAGTTGGAGCTGCTTCTGGTGCTGCGGACCCAGGAGTTGGAGCTGCTACTGGTGCTGAGGACACTGGAGCTGGCGCTGCTGGAGCTTCTGGTGGTGCTCCGGGAGTTCTAGCTGGAGACTCTGGAGCTGAGGGTGCTGGTGGTCTCTCTGTTGGTTCTGGAGGCGCTACACGGCCGCGGCCGTACTTCATTCCGCTCCTTCACCAGGTTCTTGGTCAGCCGCCTCCTCCTTGTCCTGCTCCCTCCTTAGAGTGTCCTCAGTCTGTCCAGTCGCGGTCACAGTTAC